CCTAACTCTGTACCTTGGCTGAGGGAAACCAGAGCCCTGAGCTTTATAGTTCAAGCTATAGAGGTCCCAGGTTCAAATCTGCCTGGTGGCAGTTACTCAATCATTTCACTGGTGGGTAAAGTTGTCTTCATATTTGGTTCAATTATGTTGGTTAGGCACAGCCTTCGTTAGGGCCAGCAAACTGCCTGGAGGATGCACCTTCTGCTGGTCATACAGAAACTGTGCACCTGCAACAGCCTCCCTTTGGGATGTCTAGATGTTCCCTATGGTCCCATCATTCCCATGGGTCAGGACAATACATGCACAACTGAATCCTCCAGGTAGAGAGATTAACCCATCTATATACTGTCGTAATATAGTAAAAAATGCTGTTTGAACCTATCTGAGTTGTATCTAGCTGAGTTGGTATTTGATCAGAATATCAGAGTTAATGACTATACTTTTGCCAAAAGTCCCATGGAATTTTGAATGACATCAGGTAGAGAGGACATTTATGTTTATATTTCACCTGAGAGATGGCATCTTTCTTCAATAACTGTCTTAGAACGCAGAGTGCCACCTATTGAATCATCAGCACTATTTCCTGTGCTAAGTATTCCTTTGAGGTCTTGTGGCCAGCCCTATTTAGACTGTTTAAGTTAACAGAGTCACTGGATCATAGTACCTAGTAGTTTGGCTATGTTATTACATCATTAAAATGTGGCTGATGATTTTAATGTCAATCTTATTGCCAAATTCTGTTCTTCAGATAGAGATAGGTCCATAGTAATATTCCTACTCTAATCCATTTTTCCTTTGTTCACTATGACTTCCCCATCCATAAGTGACCATGGGATTAAAATTGCTTTCAAGGTACTTTCTTTAGTTAATTGTAAATTATGTCTAGGAATGATAACGGTCCTTCAGTGTTATGGACAGCTCAGTCAATTAGAGGATATTATGATGGTTTTTGAACTTTGTAATCAAAATTATCCACTTTCATTTGTATTTGGACTTCAGTGCTATGGCCATAAAAATAAATCTTTCATAATATGTATCTCTCAGAGCTATAGGTCTCTCA